TCCATAGGAAAAGCTTACACCTCTGGAAAATAGTAGACATGTAGATTTTATCTGAAATTTCCATTTCTGAAAGGGTAATTGGCATAAAATTCTCATTTGAAATTACAACAACCTAACAATTCTAACATACAAAGAAGCAATAAGAAATCAAAGCACAAGCCAAGCAACTTCTTAAAAAAAACAGAGTGACAGGAGAGCTGAACATCCAGCCATCTTTTCCCACTTATTCTATCAGGGTCGCGGTGGGACAGTCTATGGGTTTAAGGTGGGCTACATCCTGGACAGGTTGCCAGTCTGTCGAAGTGGAGCACAGAGAGATGCAACCGTGCACACACACTCACACTTAAGGACATTTTAGAGAAGCCAGTTATCCTAACAGTCATGCTTTTAAACTGCGCCAGGAACCCAGACTACCCAGAGGGAACCCAGGCATGCACAGTTAGAACTTGCAAACTCCACACAGAAAGACTCCGGACCGGAAAGCAATGTTCATTGCTTCAAGGCAACAGTGCTAAAAGTTGTACCACCATGCAGCCTACAGCTGAACATATCAACTGAAGCCTATAATACTCTTGCAATACACTTTTTGTGCTAAAGACATTTGTGTCAGTCACATTGTATAATGTTTCAGTTTGGAGTTATTCTGCCATTCATTCACAACTGTCTATGAATCTCACAACCTCCTTTATCCACTCGTCAGCTATTTCCATTACAGTTCATTTTTTTGGAGTTCCAGGTGGCAGATATTGATATGTATGTTTTATAGACAGAGGTCCAGTTCCTTTAAGAATTTATCCTGAAGTTAAACTAGAACGTTCAAACTCTCAACAATTGGATGCAGTAGTCCAAGCATCCCCTTTACCATTGGATGGGACACGCTATGACCATATGTTGAGGCTGCTGAGAGAGATGGGTTTTGTACAGTGATCTTCCATTAAATTACAGCCGGTTACAAAAGAGAACAGCTTACCTAAATGAAATAAGCAAACAGAGGAAGATTTTCTCTGCATGTGTTTTAATACCCTATTTACTACCCTTTTTTAGGGCTGCAAAATATAATACCTTTGATTTCAAATACTTGTTTTCCCAGACACCCTGAAATGCCCAGGCTTTTCAGTCGGCTACATTGTAGGCCTGGTATGTCATATATGAATAGTAAAACTTTCCTTGAGCTGATTGAAATAGTTTTCACTTGTTTACTAGGGTTGCTGCCTTTATTTTTCTAGAAATAAACAGAAGCAACAGAGATATATTTGCAAACTGTTTGACTAACACTGAGCACTAGAGCAGCCTTTTTATGTTTACGACTTTTGGCCATCAACAGGTCCGGAGATTCATGCATTTCCTCATATTGATTATATCTGTGCAACCTGCTGTATGCTGTTTGCTTATGCTAAAAGTCTTTTAAAAGCTAGGATCAAATGGGCGGGGAAATCAGTCAGGATCATCCATGTTTATACGACTCAGGAGGATTACCTCACTGTTGCTGGAATGGCCTTAGAGGAATGGCTGACCATTATAGAACAGCGGGGCTAAACACTGTCCCGCTGTTTACATAAAAGGTAAGGCAGTCTGTGTGCCAGAGACAATTAGACCCTTATACAGGGTGTAATCCACAGGCGCGTGAGCTAATCAAATTCAGACATTGCTGGGCCCCTAAAAACAATGAGGCATGGGATTACAATATATGCATGCCAAGACAGAAAATGAATAAGTCTAAATTGTTCTAATCCTCAGATGGATGCTTGAAGATGTCCCACATTAAAAAAGGAGGGTCATGTGGGGTTCATTTAAACAAATATTTATAAAAGAAATATATCAGTGACATGAAAGTGTTTTTAGATCTTCAATTGAATTGATAAAAATGTTTTTTTTTTTATTTGAAATGTGTATACTCTGTAAAGAGATACACACATTTTTGCATTTACTGACTTTAATTCTGATAAGTTTCCCATTTTAGGTCAGTCAAGATTCATCAAATTCTTTTAAATCCACAGTCTTCCATAATTAGAGAGAGAGAATTAAAAAAATATACGTATTAAATGAATTTCTTTTTAAATGATTCTATGAAAAGGCAATTAAAGGTGCATATAATAGTTAAATCGTTAATCGTTTAATAGTTAATCGTTTCAGGAGAGCTAAGTGGGAAACAGCTGTTGATCTCTGAGATTAGTTGATAAAAGGAAGCCAGATGTGGTTCGTCCATTTGTAAAGTTTCCCAAAAGTCCAAAAGGTTTCAACATAATAATTAAAAGAACTGTTGCCTATAAGTCTAAAACTTGGTGTAAAATCGAGTGCAGTGCAGGAATGGATCCTATTCTAAACTACATAATAAACACAGACTGTTTATTCAATAAGGGGACATTACATATATCAGCATGAAGTCTTTAGACTATCATGTACATATGTCAGATTTAGCCAAATGGGCTAATTTTCATCTGTGATCCCGGGGCAGGTTGAGAAAAGGACAAAAAAAGCACATGACTACACATATGAAACTAGATATTTCATTGAACAAAGATAGGTTAGTCGATATTAAAACAGATTGACAAATAAATAACACTCTGTATGCTTTAAAGAACATCACATCCACAACAATATATGTCGCCCCAAAAAAGAAAGCTCCTGTTCACGAGACGTACAGAACTACTGTATAGTGGTAGAATGTTCCTCCGTTCTTATGGTGGTTTGATTTAAAGCATGTGATGCTTGAACTGAAAAAGCAGACCGAATAAGACATTACAGTTATCCTCTACCAGCTGCTCTTTGTATTTGACTTCAGCTGAAAGTCGGGGAGATGGAGCCAATCCAAGAAAGACTTCCTGGAAGAGTGTGATATCTGAATATATAGCCCTCTTATCCTCATTTAGAAACGTATATTTGCTTAATTATTTACAGTGATTATATGACTTGCATTTCTTTTTTATCCATAGTTTTCATGGGCTGCAGATGGAGTCTTTTTATTAGCTGTAATGTACAATAGTCCTACTTGTCTAATTGCAGTTTGCAAGGCAACCATTTTAAATGAGAAAAAACTGTGGCACATAGACATAATTTTAAAGTTTTAATCCTCAGATTAATTTGAGGATATAAAAGAGCTGACTTGTATAATCTACCGAATTATAGGACTGTTATCAATAACCAGATTTAGTGTAGAATAATGTTAATCTTTCTAGATCAATACAATACTGATGTAAAAAGGAGAGCATGAAGGAATTGTTCAGATCTGCACACCTGGTCTGTAGCTTTGCAAGCTGAGCCTGATTGGACTAAAGTACCCAGATGAAGGCGTGTCTCATTTCTGACAGTATGTGTGTGTGGGTGGTCTAACATTCGTGTGTGTGCATGTAAGTGTGTGAGCAGACAGACAATCCAATTAGTTTGAGCCACAAAGGAGGCCATCATTATCTCTCAGCTGTGGCCTATCAAATCATCTATTTACCGCAATACAGGCTGACTGGTTTATTTCTGTGAGGACAGAACAGCGGATTCCGTTTAGTACGTTATCATATCCAAGCATAAATGACTTAAAAACATCAGAACAATATAGTCATTGAAACAATGGAGAGTAAAATAAAGATTTATGATAACAAGCTGAAATTTTATAAAAATATATTTTCTTTTTTTTTTTTTTTGTCCTTTAGATCAATGTTTTTCAATTCTGGTCCTCAAGGCACCCTGCTCTGCATGTTTTGGATGTTTCTGAGGTTCAGCAAACCTGATTCAGATGATTGCAATTCAGCAAAGTCTGATAATCTGCTATTAAATTGATAACAGGTGTGTGAAAGCTGGGAAACATCTAAAACATGCAGGGCAGGGTGCCTCGAGGACCAGGATTGAAAAACACTGCTTTAGATTTAAGGCAAGAATATCTATATGTTCAGCTCCACCACAAACAAAGACATATCGTTGGATTTTCTTTGGAGTTTGGCTACTTTTTGAATACATTTTTTTACTTTCTGGCTATGACAGGATAGAGCAGTGTCTGCGTAAGAGACATGCAGCTTAACATGAACATCCTCCCCCATCTTATAAATAAGACTGAACGATGTCATCTTTCTCAATCATCTTGTTGTAGGCAAATCCCTGTAGTCAGTCTGTGAAATTAACATTACTGTTTGGACAGTTTCCAATTGTTTAACTGAGGACAACCTGATAATATGCAATTTTCTAGCAGTAATAGGTGCATGATGATCTGACTAAAACTGACTAGCTTACTGGTATGTCTTTGAGCCACCTGAATGATTTACCTAAATGTAGGATGGGGTATAATCTAAAAGAAAATATTTGAAAGACTGTAATGAGGTTGCACATTTCCTCATGTTAACTGATTCTTTGTATGGTCAGGATACTAACACATAGACAAGTAAATCAATTTATGACCAAATGTTTTCAGATTTGTGATTCAGACCTTAGCCTCTATGTTGAACAAAGCTCTGGCTGTATTTCCAACATAATTTTGTAGGTGCAAAAGTTTCATACCCATGGTAGATTTTTTTTAAATATATACAAAACACCTGATAGTTTAAATTTGATGTTGTATGATTGACACAAGCACAACTCATTTCATAACTGTCGAAAGTAAAACGACAGTTATGAAGTTCGGGCTGTATTTGCCCCTTTTACTCTGATCCCCCTGAAAAATCTGCCAGCGAGTTTAAACTCAGTTGTGAAACCTGGATCTCTTCTTCAAGGATTTAAACTTTTCTTTATAAATTAAAGGTTGTGGGACCTTTTTCCTGCATTGTGGGTGATAAACCGACCCACTCCCGTTGAAATATTTTGTATCTGTGCGTAAAATGCTGCGTCCTGGCGCAGAGGAGCCCCTTGTCGGTGGAGCTTCCCTCACGCCCCGCTGCTGTGGGTCGGCGGTGCAGAGCAGGAGTGGCATCTCGGCAACAAAATCCTGCTGAAAGACCCTCCTTTAGAGCTCAGCCATGCATGGAGTTGTGAGATCACCGGCGTTATAAATATCTCCAGCAGCTATCCAGCAGATCCACCGCAGCCTTGGTAGCCGAGGTAATGCGCACACGCCAGTGCGCGTAAACCTTTTTGGTTTTAGACCTCGGCACAGGAGCGGTAAACATGCAAATGGGATTCTGCTGAGAGTCTCCTTTTTGGAATAATGAATGTAACTCTCTACCTTCTGACATTTGCTCACTGGATTTGCGTAGCAGCCGCAGCGGAACGCGTCTCTTTGCTTCTTCAGGAGGGAATCAGCTCGGGACGCAGGACTTGCAGGCTGTACTGCAGGGTCGGCATCGGCTTCCACCTCCAGATTCATCCCGATGGCAAAGTGAACGGCAGCCATGAGCCAAACCAGCTGAGTAAGTATTTACCCACATGCATGAAGCAGCTTAATTTATAAATGATGAAATCTGGACCAGACTGCTATTTATCCCTCCTAAGTTTCCCAATATGTTTTCAATAATATCACTCCTCCAAGTAAGAACATAAATAATTTCTACAGGAGCAGGGGGCAGCTCCTGGCTGGTGGTGTAAATATCTGAGCGCATGTCATCCGGCTGACCAGCCCCGTTTGTGTCCGTCCGGGATGTTGGCAGGTAGACTATTTGTGGAAGTAACAGGTGCAGATGAGGCACCGGGATGTGTGCGGTTGCAAATCAGCGAGACTGGCATCACAGCAACCAGGCACTACTGCACAGCAAAAATAAAGCCTCCAAATTTAAATTAAAGACGTTCTGGTTAACATTGGTCTAGCTGATAAAACTTTAAAGCTGAGCAAGAGGAGGCACCCGATTTAGAAAAATAATTAAAAAGAAACAATAACATGGCCTGCAAGAAGGAGGTGTGAGCCTTTAGAGAGGATGCATTGCATAAGATGTAAAGATCTATGAAATTAATAAGAACGTCTGCTATAGCAATCTAAAACGTGGACATTGTTGCTTTGCCTTTTTCTATGCTACAGCAAAGAAAACAGAGGACATGCAATGTGCATGGTAAGCAAGATAATTTCATCTGGTCAGAAATGCAAGACAATTCAACCACAGCAGATTGGTTAAAAGTTTTGTATCTAAGGAAAGGTTATAAAAAATAGTACTTTATTATCCCCAAATAAAGAATAGTGCAAGCAATTCCATTTAGAATTTATCCACTAGCAAGTAGCTTATTAATTAACAGCCAACCTTTTGGTACTTCAACCCTAGTTTGTATTAGGGCCTCTGGATTTTTTAATAGAACATCAGCGAACTGTTACAGTAGCATCATGGAGACTAAGAAGCACGGTAGAAAGGTTTGGAAAAACCTCAAGAAGATTAGGTTAAAAACTTATCAATGTGATCATCTTACAGAGCTCTGCTCAATCCCTTATAAATAAGCATGATATATTGCCGTTATTATTATTATGGATAATATGGGTAATTTTTATGCATATTGGTATCGGTCCCACTAGTAAAACTGGGCCGATATTCACAACCGATATCTATTTCAATCTAGTTGCTGTTATTGTTTCAAGAGGAGGACGGCTGGGAATTGGTCATGGGGTGTTTGTTTGGTCATGTGACTGTGATTATGAAACAGATCACGTTTATGAGCATTTAATTGAATCAGATAATCAATTTCAGCCCTTGTGTCATTTTTTCATGGTGTTCAGGGGAAGGGAAACATATGATATATGATGCTGGTTAATAATGGCAATAATGACCATAATGGCAATATTAATATGGGATATCAATATCAGCCCAGGTCTTCACAATCGGTGCATCATTATTATTCACTTTAACTGAGAGATTAGACAAGGAGAGCATAAATCTAAGAAACAGCCAAAAGGGAGGAGATGAAAGGTCCACATCTCTGGTTCTTTCTGTATTCCATAAATATGAATAATAAGACAAACCAGGTCCAAAAAGAACCTCGTTGATAAATCAACATGTACCACAAGTCTTACATGAGTCAAAACATTCTAATGGTCAGGTAAGAAAAAAATTTTTTGATTTAATGCTCTTTCTGCAAAATGTGAGAGATAAACCATGCTTACCTTGAAACGTGTTTGGCAGCGTTGTGGCGTATGGAAAGGGAAGCATTGCAACTGATAGGTAGAAGGCTGTAGCTAAATTTTGACTAGCACTGACAGAAAACCTATAAGAGGCAACAGAAGGCTTGAGACTTGGGTTGAGTGTGACTTTCTAGAAGTAAACAACCCTAAACATGCAGTCAGGTCTGCAATGGAACGGTTTAGATCAAAATGTCACCATGTGTTCTGAAAATTCAAAGCCCAGACTTTATTCTTATTAAGAATCTGTGGCAAAACGTGAAAATGAATGCTCTCCATCCACTTAGGTTGACCTTGAAGTATCTTTCAAACACTCATGTCCCATAATTTAGTCTTAGTCAAGATGTGCAAACATTGTAGAGGAAAACAATCTGCAACAGTGACTGCAGTGAAAAGGTCTTGAAAAGTACTGTCTATGAGTGTGAATTAAAAAAAAAGCTCAACCTTTCTGATGTGTTCAAAACCATTTTGAAAATTATCTGTAATTTGTCCTTTACATGGCAATTTTGTGTTCATTTGTGTCAGTCTATTGCATAAAATAACTTTAAACCACTCAGAGAGGACGGAAAAAGTTTAACAGGTTTATTGAGGGAGTAATACAGGATTTGGATCTGGAACTCAGTGAGCTGGTAACCCGGAACTGGAAGTGAGAAGGGAAGTTCAGTGGTGAGTTCAGGGAACGTGAGAATCTTGGAAGCACTTAAATTATGCAAGAATGGGACTCACGTTTTTGTTTTACAAAAAAGAAACAGTGCAGCTACAAACAAAAGCTCTGCTTCATTTTTTCCCCCACAGCGTTTTATCGTCATTACACTGTCACAGGCACAGGGCAACGAAATTCACTGCCATTTGTGGGGAGCAGCGTGGGGTTAAGAGTCTTTGCTCAGGGAGCCATAGTGGCAGTCTGTGGGAGTGGGTTTCAAACTCACAACCTCAGGATTCCAAGCTCTATGCTCTAACAACTTGGCCACCACTCCCCACAATGACCCCCACGTAACCAGTAGGCAGCATCTCAAACCAGAATAGATAGAGAATTTTAATAGGCTTATATTAGACATATAATGGGAACTAAGCTTAAAGAAAAGGAAAACGCAGCAATAAAGGCTGTTGGATGGTTTACTGTATATGGCTGTTGGCTGAAACAGTAAGAGGGCCTTCAGAGAGAGATCTGTAAAGTTTGTTGAAGTTTTTTATTTCCTTCCTTATTTCTATAAAGAGGGGAGATAAGCTGCTCTCACCTGCACTGTCTGCTCCCAATTGAGGCTCAAATAAGATCACTATTTTACTATATCCATTTTCTGTTCTTGTAAAGTTTATATATTTAATTTCTTTTGAGGAGAGTGATAAAAATTAGTATTATGTATTTAAGCTAAAGTATTCTGTTTTCCAAAAGGTGAGTCTACCCACCTGTTTTGTATCCACTGTCTGACTCCAAACCTGACTGTTTTTTGTATTTTTTTCACGATTGACAGATTTTATTTTGCACTTTTCCGGATGTGTTTACTTTGTAATTGTGTCTCTCTTCCTGTCACACAGATACAATTGCCACTAAATTGCTGCCTAGCATAGTCCAAGGAAAATAGACCTGCCTATCTTAGTCAGAACTATGCAAGCCCCCTGCAGAATATCATGTTGGGTGTGTTGCTCCCCAATGATTTTAAAGAAGAGCATAACGCCACAACCTTTTATGACACAATTTTCTGTCAGGTCGGAATAGAAATCGTATTCAGTGTGTTCAGGGTTTAACACAGCCCGTGGCTTTCATCAGGGTCATTACAAATCAGGCAAAAATTGGATTTAAATGAAAAGTACTATACAAAAAAATGTAAATAAAATAAACCAATGATATAGTAACAAATACTGACCAATTAGCATTAAAGGGAGATGGTACTTCCTGATTGGTTAAACCAATATTCAACAAGACTAAGACTGGAATCAACTCACTTTTAAAGTGGACAGATCTAGACCTTTGTTTTTGGTCTAAAACTGAAGGGAAAGTGTGTAAGACTTAACTCCATCTAGTGTCACACTAAATGAATAACTAATGATGCCTCACCGTCACACGTGTGAGATCTAATACGGAAGCCATTCAAGTCTTTCTAAATGGAGTGGACACATCAACCATCATCGCTCCAGCTAAAATAAAGAAGGAAACACATGGAAAACTTATCTGAAACAGGACTGAAAGATGCCCACGCAGGTAGAATGAACTAGGTAGAATGATCTACCAAAGACAATACATTTTCAGATAGAGTTCAAACCCATAAGGCCTACAAGTTTGTCCCCTATGCTTATCAATAATGTTGATACAATGTGGCAACAGCGAAAAGAGCAATGAGCAACACCCTTACAAGTTTATACATTAATAATATAAATATCATATAATTTGATTTAAAAAGACTTAATTGATCAAAACATAAATTTAAACATAGGCTCAATTACAGATAGTCTTTAATAGATAGTGTAGTTCCTCATTCATACCTGTAGGAGCTGGATTCAGGATACAGTACCAAGAACACCTCTGTTTTTGCTAATAGAATCTATATTTCCCCCTCTCTGGCTAGGTTTAATAGCTTCAATGCCTATAAAAATAGTAATAAGGGTAAACATTGCTGATGAATATTGCTTTTTATTAAAATATCTTGTTACAGGACCAATTAGATCAATCCTCTTGATAAAACGTCAATGATTTATATGTTTAAAGGACAGGATATTTTTGATATGCATGTTTTATTGCTTGGGCTCTGTGTCACATATAAACTGTTTTTAGTTTTAAAAGATCCAATTACTTTGTGTTGTTATCCTTGCTACCTACTGGGTGACTAAATGATTTATATTTTTTTGTATTTTGATCACTTATGCAAGCCCTACATTTGAAATTCCTTATAGGTTATGGGTTAACAAGGTTGTTTCTGGGTGTTATGAGGAGCTCGGACTTCCTATCCCTGGTATTTATCCCCTGCCTATAATTTATAATTTGAAGTTCATTAAATTTGGATCACTTTGGACAATGTACACATGTTCTTAAGATTATTTGTATGTAGAGAAAAATGTAACTGATTAGTTTTGTGTAAAGGAAGGTGGATAAACGCTATTCTCTTTTGGGTATTTGTATGTCAGGAGTTAAATCAAAGTGCACTTAAGTATGGAACCCCGAATGATTCATAATTAAATAAATAAAAAACTTTATGAAATAAATACCATTTTGAGAAATAACACACAAATATATAATATGGCCATGAAATAAAAAGCAAGGTAATGTTATTATGAAATACATATAGCTATTCTTTAGTATTTACTTCTTGTTATTTTTTTTATCATAATTGAATATTTCATAATTATTTTCATAATATCATACTTTATAAAAAATAAGAATTTTATTTCATTTTCAAATAAAGTTTTTCCCAAAGTCATTTTTTATTTAATAATGCCATTTTCCACAATGGCCTTTTGTATTTCATAATGTCATTTTTCAGCAAAATGACTTCGTCTGTCAATCAAAGCTAAGGGGTTGGACCTCCGCTGGGTCCTTTAAGATCGATTAGATCCATGGCGTCTGGTTACCCGCGTTAGCATGAGCAGTTTGTAACGCTGATGCTGCATTGTTAGGTGAACGTCCAGGCACCACCTGGTCAGAAACACGGTGCTGTAGCGCTCCTCTCTCAGGCTGAGGTGCAGGATTCGTGTTACTATCCAATCTATTCGCAACTTCTCTGAGCAATTCTGCAACTAACTTCTCTCCAGCTGCCATCTCATCGCTAACGAGCCGCTCACTCCTGGCCTCCAGTTGGTGATAAGTCTCCGTGCTTGAATCGATACTGCAAGTGCTGCTGCTCATGTCTTAGTAAAGGAGCAGCCAATCACCTAACTGGCTCTGCCTTGCCTGCTTTGATTGACAGACGAGGTCATTCTGCTGAAAAACAACATTATGAAATAAAAAAGGCCATTGTGGAGAATTTCATTATGGAATAAAGACAAACTTTGGAAAAAAGTTCTTTATTTTCCAAAATCTTGGAAAATGAAATAAAAAGTAATTATTTCTTGGAAAATGAAATAAAAAGTAATTATTTAAAAAAGCATATTGTATAAATATTGATATTTTGATATTGTGAAAATAATTATCATGAAATATTCAATTATGATAAATATAATAATAAGTAGATATTAAAGAATAAAAATATATATTTCATAATAACATTACCTTGTTTTTATTTCATGACCATGTTCATTTATTAAAATCTGGGTCTCCTTCAACTAATTGTCATCATGAGTAAAATCCTCTTTCATTTCCATCTTAAGGTATTTATTTGTAGAATAAGATTTAGAGTCTTTTCTATTCTAATTGTCTTAAAATATTAGATCTATATTTAATTGTATCAATTATAAGGATAAAACATCCTTTATCAATTAAAAACAACAGATTTCTTATGTTCAATTTCTGCCAATGCTTTTTGTGATGTATAAGATTATATGAAGTAAATCTTTTATGGTTAAAAAAGTTTTCAAATTCTTCAAGTCTACATTGTGTATCTATCAAATGATACCTGTTCCAAGAGGGGGAAACTTATTTTAGTATTAAAAGTATTTTTAAACACATCCTTAAGTATTGCATCTTTCAAGTGTATGTGCTGGAAAAATTCCTTTTCTTTTCTTTTCTTTTCTATTCAGATCATCAATAATAGTGAAAAATTCAGTGGAGAAAAAAGAAAGGGAAGTCTGATGATGGTCTGCTGGAGTTCAGAGCATTTCTCAACATAAGCTGGAAAACCCTGGACTGTGTTAGTTGTAGAAAGGAAAGGGAAAGGGAAGGAGATCTGAATGAGTATTTGAACTGTGGGAATTCTGGAATAACCTTCTTTGTGGTGAAGAGCAAACTAAAGAATTCTATGCAAAGTATATTTCCCAAAAAATTATTCTTCCATAATTTCACTTCATTTTTTTTTCTTGCATGGGGCAGCTTCTAAATGACTCAACATGACTCCTCTTTTTTTACTGTCTTCTGCAAGTAAAATACTGCATATAACTACTCACCAACAAATAAAATAATGAAAATATAGTCTATGTGGTGATATCTGTACTTATGCATGTCATGAGTTTTTATGTTGCTTATGAGTTAAATGTACATATTTAGGAAGAAGGTTGACAGACTTTGTATTCCGGAAAAACATTCAGCTGAATATAATTAAAAATCTGAAGTGAAAGCAGTGGAAATAAACTGATGTTTCTGCCCTTCAATCATCCAGATTTGGTCTCTGTCTTTCCAGGTGTTCTGGAGCTGTTTGCGATTTCTCAGGGTGTCATCGGCATCAAAGGGGTTTACAGCAACAGATTCCTGGCCATGAACAAAAGAGGATGGCTTCACGCCACCGTAAGATCTCCACACAAAAGCCACTAAACTGCTCTGATGAAAACTGATGGGAATGTTGTGGTTGTATCAGAACCTCAGTCCTCTGGTTAAGATTATATAAAGTATTCACTAACACTTTACTAATAGGTTCTCATGACAAATACCATCTTTGTTGACCTCCTTAGGCAAGGCAAGGCAAAGGCAAATTTATTTGTATAGCACAATTCAGTACAAAGACAATGCAAAGTGCGTTACATGATTAAAATATAGGAAAATAAAACAGAATCAAAGCAAGTAGGAAAAAAACAACAATAAAAAATGCAGAAACAAGAAAGAACATTAAAAACAGTTGGATTAAAGAAAATAAAGTTGAACTAATGATGTTTCAGTTGAACTTTTTAACTAGAACAGCCGAAGGCAATCCTAAACTAATGTGTTTTTATTCTTGATTTAAAGGAACTCTGGCTTTCCGCACTTTTACAGTTTTCTCAAGTAGAAATCTGTTCTGCTCCTCAATCATTCATTATGTTTATCTAGTTAGTGGCTTTTGCATAATGCAGCCCAGGATTCAGTTTTTCTTAAGTTAAAAACTATCAGCCAAAAACTATTGAAGCAGACATGAACAGATAGAAACACAGGAGGACCAAACAGCAGACCTATTTGTTGTCCACCTATATTTTTAAATCTTAAAATCCTGGCTTCTTCTTCTTTCTAAGCTGCAATCAGGCATCCTTTGCACTAATGACATGGCTATGTTCTCCATAGAATTACTTATATTTGTTTAATGAGTTTGTCCTGCTTTCCATCTGCAACAAAGGGCCCTTGAATCTGACGTAAGCATGCCATGGTGCTCTCGCTCCACTGTAATCTTTAGCCACAGTTTCGGAGGTTCTTAAATCCCAATGAATGCAGCTTGGCTGTGCTGATGTAAGTCAGTCAGCGGTCAGAAACACCACCAAGTCATCTGTGGGAGCTTTGGCAGGCGAACAGATAACAGAGAGACTCCCAGTTAGCTAGTGTTAATGGCAAGAATAAAATTAAATCCTGTCTGGGACGTCTGATAGTATACAGTGGAGCGAGCTACAAGGCGAAAATCAATATGCTGAGTAAACAATGAGCTGAAGGCAGTAGACACAGAGTCGTGTAGTTTACTGAGAGAGTTGATGCCCAGCACAGACCACTTCTGCCGCTTCAGATCCTGATACTGTTACATACATTCATGTCAGGGTGATGGGATGAGTTGTTATTCTTCAGCACATTTTCACTTACAGTCATGGCCAAAAGATTTGAGAATTATTCAAATGTTATTATTTACAAAGTCTACTGCTTCAGTTTTTATAATAGCAATTTGCATATACTCCAGAATGTTATAAAGAGTGATCAGCGTAATTGCAAAGTCAATATTTGCCTAGAAAATGAACTTTATCCCCCAAAACACATTTCAGCGTCATTGCAGCCCTGCCTTAAAAGGACCAGCTAACATCGTTTCAGTGATTGCTACATTAACACAGGTGTGGGTGGTGATGAGGACAGGGCTGGAGTAATATCAGATTTCATCCGATACTTGAGTGGAGGTCAAAGCATCAACCAGACAGGGACTTGATATATATTTACATTATAGTAATGAGAAAACCTACTAGCACTAGAACATTAAACCAATTTTCAAATCATACAAGGATAAACTGAAGAGATTCAACACAGTTTTTAACTGTTGATTCAATTTATGAAAGAAGAAAACAGCTTCCCACGCCATCTTGGTGAGTAATTGCTTCCTAAACCTAATGATTGGTTGGCACCCTTGGTGCCAAAGAGTGTTTGAAGTGC